GTGCTATGGGGCTCTATAGGTCTCTATGGGGCTCTATACGGCTCTATAGGACTCTATGGGGCTCTGTGGGGCTCTATAGCACTCTATGGGGCTCTGTGGGGCTCTATAGGACTCTATGGGGCTCTTGGGGCTCTACAGGACTCTATGGGGCCCTGTGGGGCTCTGTGGGGCTCTATGGGTCTCTATGGGGCTCTATAGCTCTCTATAGGTCTCTGTGGGGCTCTATAGGACTCTATGGGGCTCTGTGCAGCTCTATGGGGCTCTATACAACTCTATGGGCTCCATAGGTCTCTATGGGACTCTGTAGGTCCCTATAGGTCTCTATGGGGCCCTGTGGGGCTCTGTGGCACTCTGTACAGCTCTATGGGGTGCTATGGGGCTCTGTAGGTCCCAATAGGACTCTATGGGACTCTGTGGGTCTCAATCACAGCACCACAGAACGGCAGGGGTCTCTATAGGACTCCAGAGTCTCTATGAGGCTCTATGGGGCGCTATGGGGCTCTATAGGTCTCTATGGGGCTCTGTGGGGCTCTATGGGGCTCTGTGGGGCTCTATGGCACTCTGTACAGCTCTATGGGGTGCTATGGGGCTCTATAGGTCTCTATGGGGCTCTATAGGTCTCTATGGAGATCTATACGGCTCTATAGGACTCTGTGGGGCTCTGTGGGGCTCTGTGTAGCTCTATGGTGCTCTATACGACTCTATGGGCTCCGTAGGTCTCTATGGGACTCTGTAGGTCCCTATAGGACTCTATGGGGCACTGTGGGGCTCTATGGCACTCTGCACAGCTCTATGGGGTGCTATGGGGCTCTGTAGGTCCCTATAGGTCTCTATGGGGCTCTATGGGGCTCTATCCCAGCACCACAGAATGGCAGGGGTCTCTATAGGACTCCAGAGTCTCTATGTGGCTCTCTGTGGGGCTCTATAGGACTCTATGGGGCTCTGTGGGGCTCTATGGGTTCTACAGCACTCTGTGGGGCTCTGTGGGCTCTATAGGGCTCTATGGGGCTCTGTGGGGCTCTATATATCCCTATATGTCTCTGTGGGCTCTATAGGGCTCTATGGGGCTCTGTGGGCTCTATGGGTCTCAGTCTCCTTTTCCCAATCTAAACAGCCGCAGTTCGCTCAGCCTTCCTCCATAGGGGCGATGCTCCCGGCCCCTCCCCATCCTTACGGCCCCCCGCTGGACCCTTCCCAAGAGACCCCTGTCCTTTTTTTCCACCAGGACCCCCAGCTCTGCAGAGCTCAGCCCCAACCCAGAGCACTGCACGCAGTTATTCCTCCCGAGCTGCAAAACCCTACAGCTGTGTTCCTAAATCCCAGCTGTAAAACCCTACAGCTGCT